AGAAAAGTTGGCAGAAAATCCGCTTTTTTATCGACAAATTTTGTTCAGCGATGAGGCTCATTTCTGGTTGAATGGCTTCGTAAATAAGCAAAATTGCCGCATTTGGAGTGAAGAGCAACCAGAAGCCGTTCAAGAACTGCCCATGCATCCCGAAAAATGCACTGTTTGGTGTGGTTTGTACGCTGGTGGAATCATTGGACCGTATTTTTTCAAAGATGCTGTTGGACGCAACGTTACGGTGAATGGCGATCGCTATCGTTCGATGCTAACAAACTTTTTGTTGCCAAAAATGGAAGAACTGAACTTGGTTGACATGTGGTTTCAACAAGATGGCGCTACATGCCACACAGCTCGCGATTCTATGGCCATTTTGAGGGAAAACTTCGGAGAACAATTCATCTCAAGAAATGGACCGGTAAGTTGGCCACCAAGATCATGCGATTTGACGCCTTTAGACTATTTTTTGTGGGGCTACGTCAAGTCTAAAGTCTACAGAAATAAGCCAGCAACTATTCCAGCTTTGGAAGACAACATTTCCGAAGAAATTCGGGCTATTCCGGCCGAAATGCTCGAAAAAGTTGCCCAAAATTGGACTTTCCGAATGGACCACCTAAGACGCAGCCGCGGTCAACATTTAAATGAAATTATCTTCAAAAAGTAAATGTCATGGACCAATCTAACGTTTCAAATAAAGAACCGATGAGATTTTGCAAAGTTTATGCGTTTTTTTAAAAAAAAAAGGTATCAAGCTCTTAAAAAATCACCCGTTACATATACAAGTGTGTACCACATGTGGTATGTTACACATGTCAACACTGTTACTGCAACTCTAACTCAGGCGGCGAAACAAAAGGCTTGAAGATGTCGCTCAAAAAGAATTAGCGCAAGCAAAGCTGCGCCTGCATAAAAGGTATGGAATGAAACTGGCAGTGCATTTTTATGGGTGTTTACATCACAATCTAAATTAATTAACTAAACGCTTTGAAGTTTTATGCGAGCGCGCGTCCATGTGTGAGCTTAAGAAATGGTGACAATGATGGTGCGTTGCAATGGTGCGGACTTGCGACCGCATTGCATCAGTTGTGCATACAAGATGTCTGCCAACGGCGACAATTGCGCTAAGCAAGTGCACCTAATGACAAGGTGTAGTATGTATGTATGTACGTGTGTAGTGTAGCGACAAAACAAATATGGTGTTGCTTAGATATGAACGAAGGTGTGCGCGGGTGCGTACTACACGCAAGTGCGCAACCGCAGCTGCTATGTACATACTTGATGTCGGCAATCATGTAAGTAGCATCGCCAAGATTGTTTGCTAAAGTAATAATAAGAAATTCAGTTAGTAAACAGTGGCATGTGTAGACAAATCGTAAAATCAAAGCTAAGAGTACATACATATGAAGCTTTTATTATAAATATGTGACATCACACACTTATGTATAATTCATTTGTATATGCAAACAATAGAATATGTATATAGAATAGATTATAATGATTATTTAAGTAGCGGCTTCTTTAGTTATTTTATGTACATAACTGTTGAGAACAAGCTAATAAATGTGAACTCATTTTATGAAAGCTACTTAATCTAAAAGTATTGTATTTCAAACTACAAAGTACATATGTATGTATGTAGATCCCCGAAGTCTTGAGCAATGGATCTACGGATTAAAAACGTTATTTTTAATAGGGCGATGATTAATCAAGAATTGAAATATGATTACTCAAAAAAAAAAATGTTGCACCGGGACACTTGAGGGAGGGCCTCTCGCTCAATTCCCTTTCATTTCGACGTGCGAAAGGATGTAGTGAAATTTTATTTTGACAGACAAAAACAAAGACATAAAAACATGAGATCATGATATCATTACAACGTACGCCAACAAAACAAAACAACTTATTACAACTAAAGCACAGAATTTTTGACAATGCATGAACCTTTTTTTATTCTTTATACAAATACAGTTTATACTAAATATATGAAAAATCATAAAAATAAAATTGTTAAACTTTGTGTTAAACTAGGGAAGATTCAACAAATTTGCATACAAATTTGCAACATTCAAATCAGACTTTTTATACAAATTTTTAAAATGAAGTTTGGCAGCCCATTAAATTTTAGTTAATTTTTGGTATTGTTTTTACTGATTGCTTCTTCCATTCAAACTATGTTCGATAATTCTTATTATATGGAAGACACTGTCAGCAAAAAATATAAATGCTAAAAATCAACGAAATATGCTGGCAACTTCGGACTTGCACTTCATTAATTGGCTCAAAAGCTACATTTTCAAAATTTTTCTAAAAGATCTGATTAGAAATTGTGATCTGATGAAAGAGCCTCTGAGCCAATAATTTTATACGGCACTGTACTTATAAGTACATACTCTAGGTTTCATGAACGAAAAAAATTTAGTACAAGATAACATTAAAATATCAGTCATATTTTTCGTTGCTGTGAACTTGTTTCAAAACTTCTGTATTTTCCTTAATATAATTGTAAAACTCTGTGCACGTCATTATGAACGTACTTAGGTTCATATACTAATCATCAACTATTGCTTGTCCAAAGTTCAACTATCCCGAAATGTAACTACATATTTCACAAATTAAACCGGTGCACTGAGAGAAAGTAGTTTAGAATTAAAAAAGCGTGCTAAATTAAAAAAATACGCATATGAAAGAGCACCAACCCAACTCGTAATACATTTAAGTATACACATTTTAGTATTTAGTATAGAAATATTCAATTCAAATAGGCCCATATTAAAATGAAGAGATTTGCAATTACCGATTGCTTTTTCATAATTAAGTTAAAAAAGTATTTAAATTCCGTGATGGTTGTAATGGGAATTAAACCCTGACCCTCTGAAAATTAGCAAATTGTGGCAAGCATCCTCGTGCACTCAACTACAGTTAGACATGTAAATGTGCATTTAAATGTTGAGTTTGAATCAACACGACGCGTTCGTGTTATGAAAGTATTATTTTTAAATACGAACATTTTTAAACGATAATCAAATTGAAAATATTCATGTTTACTATGCGTTATTTCCCTCAATGAATTCATAACATTTTTCTGAATATTACAACGCGTTTTTTCTCTTAGTGTAGTGATTTTTGAACTTCTATTCAAATTTGTGCAATCAAATCAAAAACCGGGACACTAAAACGAAACCCGGGACATTTTAAGGTTGGACTGGGACACCGGGACAAATAGTCCAAAACCGGGACATGTCCGGGAAAAGCGGGACTTCTGGCAGCCCTATACAAATGTAAAGAGTTGAAATGTTGATTACTCATTTTACTCGAAATGTTGATTAATCATAAAGCATTTTACTCAAATATTTTTGTTTTTGGTTAATCAAAAATCTTGATTACTCGAGTAACTGAACTTTTGAGTAATCATAATTTCCAATTAATCGAATAATTGAGTTATTTACTTTATGGTTAATTAAAATTTTGAGTAATCAATTAATCGCACAGCCCTAATTTTTAACGTTAAGTTCTCAAAACTTTTGTTCTTGTTTTGTTCTCCAGAAGAACGTTCGCCAGACTTTTGTTTAGCTGAGGTAAGGCGGCAGACAAGGATTATAGTTGTGCGGACAGGCCATAGGGATGCGAATTGTTGTGTTATACATATGTATGTATGCATGTACATCTCGAAAAAGTAAGTTCCTACATTACATGACTTACATACCTTTCCGTAAATATGTACATTAGAGTGGTTCAAAATAAATAAAAAATGTGTCAATTTTATTGTGGCGTTTAAATCTGTGCCTTTAAATTAAAGTGGTCGGACTCAAATTTATAAATCTAAAAAAAAAAAAGATTTTTTCTTTAAACCGTAATTAATGGACCATTATGGATTTTGTAATAATAAAAACCCAATATTGACTTATCCCGACTTAGGCTGCTTAAAAAAAAAACTATTTATATTCAATACACAGTGTTTTTTGTACCATTTCTTTTAAATTTTTTTTAAGAAAAATGGAAAAGGCAACATAGCCTAAGCGGTAGAAGTTATATCTGCAATTTCAGAGATCACCACATCTCCTCATCAGTCTTTTCTTTCTAGACTTTGTTGCTTTTTCCATTTTTCATAAAAGTTATAATCGTGGTACAAAGCTCAATAGCACTATTGAAATAAATAAAAAAATTACAAATAAAAGCAGATTTGCATAGATATGGAAAGCTTTAAATTGTTGCTCTTCTTCCGTTTTTCTCTCTTTTGGATACGACGAAGATATCCTTTAAAGTATGTAAAATAACGTCACTTTTTAT